GGTATGAGGTATGAGGTATGAGGTATGAGGTATGAGGTATGAGGTATGAGTATGAGGTATGAGTATGAGGTATGAGGTATGAGGTATGAGGTATGAGGTATGAGGTATGAGGTATGAAGGGATATGGGGAGTGGGGGAGGGTTTGGTGGGTGGTGGAATTGAAAGTTATATTAGGAGAGGGGGAGAGGGGAGAGGGGAGAGGAGATAGTACTCTCGTGAGTTAAGAGTATTATTGGGTTTCATGGAAAGATAGGTTTTTTCTCTTGGTAGTATACTTGTAAATTTGAAATCTTTTGACTAATTTTGTGATGTTTTTAATCCGGTGTCTGTGCTAATTGGTATAAAAGATCGTGAAGAAAGTCGGTATACTGACTCCTTATTATTAATGTCAATCGAAGCGTGATATTCAACCATTATAGTCATATCGAATCACAGAAACCTGTAAACTAACGTCCTTCTACAGTCCTACGAAAAGGTTGACCAGCGGGGGATTTCTTATCAACTTCGTGACTTCGAGTCTATGTTTAGTCAAAGAAGCCAAGCGAGACACAGCATATTATAAGCGAACTAAGAAAGGGGTACCTCTCAAGTCAAAGCGAGGGAGACGCACTACAAGCATCCCGCTGATTCCAATCCTGCAATCCTGCAACAGAAGATTCACACTCCTTCCCATTTTTGAAGATAATCACCCCCACGACATCCCTTGCTGCTCACGTAACACCCGCCAAAGGTTCCATCCCATTGGTCAAAGAAGCGCAGTCACTACACCACCACGACAAGCCCCCTATCTGCAGCAAACCAAACGAAGGTCACAAAGTAAACCCATGATCACCGCCTCGCCACTGGATCAAACTAGAATCTCCCAAGACGGGACAAACGATTCGGATTGCTCCGCTTCCCGTCATTCACTGGTTGTATTTGTAGGATCGTATCCCCGCGAATATGTTGAGAGCAAGTACAACAACCGATTCTGGGAATAGGGGAAGGTATTCTAGGATGATGACTGAAGATCCGGATTTGAGAGGTGATGAGACGGGTGCTTGCGATGAGGGTTCTAGCGAGGACAATTCAGGCGATGAGAATGAAAGGAAAAAAATCACTTTTGGCGTGGTTGGCAGAGAGTCGTAGGACGTTCGTCTTTTCCTGATTCCATATTTCTAAGGGGGAGAGAGAGAGAGCTGATGGAAGTGAACAGGTACACCGGATCTCTTTACTGGAACTTCATAGCATCCCTCCTTCCAGCTCTCTACTCAACCCTCAGCAAACTCTGGGTCGCAAACATAGACTCCAAGCTCGTCGTCACAACTGACGTCTACACATACATCCAAACCCTAGCCGAAGTTCTCAACGAAGGGCTTCCTCGCACCGCATGGCTCATCATAGGAGACAACACAATCCGCTCCACCGCCTCCCGTCTCAGTCTCTCCTACACACCAATCCTCTTCCAAATCATCTGTGGCACCATCATGACAGTAATCCTCATCGGTGCTTCAGACAAGTTCGCGGATTCCTTCCTCCCAGTCGAAGTGAGAGAAAAGAGTTTAACATACGTCCGCATCTCCGCACCCGTCGCGCTACCGAGCGCGATCCAAGTTGCTGTTTCCTCGTGCACGAGAGCGCTAGATCAACCGGATGTCTCGCTAGTCATCAGTTCCATCGGATTCCTACTAAATATCATCCTCGACCTACTTCTCATCTCGAGATTCCACGTCGGGGGTTTCAAGCCAACGATCTTGATGCAAGCTGGCATCCGACTATCCTGTGACTTCCTCTCCGCCCTCTCAGGACTGGGTTATTTCTTCTTCCTCGCTCACACCATGGGCAAGAAAGTGAGGAACCAGGACGCAGAGAAAATCGGACCCCAGTTTGCGGCGCTCAAGATCTTGCTTAGACCTGCGGTGTACACTTTCACCGAAACAGTCGTGAGAAATGCATTTTACCTCTGGCTCGTTGCGGTGATCATCAATATGGGCAAGACGTACGCTACAGCATGGAGGGTTTTCAATACGATTCGATGGGGTGTCGTGATGGTTCCTGTGAATACCCTTCAGGCTTCCGCGTTGAAGTTTGTGGGGCATAGGTGGAGTGCGTGGCATGCGAGGGTGGGTGCTGAGACTAGAAATCCTGTTGCTACTTGGTTGGATATTAAAGGTATATCTTATCTAATTTCTCTCTATCTCTTTTGTGAGAATGGAGGACTTTGTGACTGGTATTTGATGGTGTAGATATCTCACGGCCAGCAGTCACCTCCGCTCTCCTCTCCTTAGCGGTCGAGATACCAATGTGCATCTTCCTCTACATCTGGGGAATAAAACCCTTCGCCTTCTACCTCTCCGCATCCCAAGAAGTCGCGGAAATAACCCAGAAAATGTGGCGCGTTCGTTTTCCCCCCATCCCCTTCCTCTTCCTCCCCCCTTTCTCCCAAAAACTAACAAAACCACAGTACATAGACTGGACATACATCTTCTACGCCCTCTCCACGCAACTCTCCGCCCTGCTTTTAGCCACCATCCCTCGCTTCTATCTCTACCAATCCCTCGGGTCGAATTTCCTCTGGATGCTACCCTGGGCTATCGTCATGACCACAAGAAGGTTTGGGGAGGAGAGGGCGTGGGGTTTCTATGCGGTGGTTTTTGGGGGCGCGTTGGTGATTGGTTTTTTGAATGTGGGGGTTGTGGTGGGGCTTTGGGGGTGGTTGCTTAGGAGGGGGAGGATGGGTGTTAG